GTACAGCCCCGCAAAGGTTTCTGTCATAGGCCTAACATTTGTACATATTTGAGTGGGGACTCCTAACGGAAATATGTGATTTAGCGCCCCGTGATACTGCATAAGTGGATGAGGTTACTACTTGAATACAACCGGCGTCAGTGTCATCCTGAGCGCATCACATATGAGCAAGTTGGCCCCCACAGACAGTCGTTTAAAAGTTCCCACAACAATAGGAATAAGTCTCGCTACAACACTCGATGACTAAATCTAATTAGGTGTCGCACCAATGTTTCTTCCAGGGTAGACTGTTTTCGGGGGAGGGGAGGGGGGGGAGCTCTGCCGGAAGAAACAATGTGTCACACCCATCACCCGTGCAGTAATGTAACCGGTAGCTCCAAGAGCCCCGTGACTCCCCTGACACCTGGGCCGTCGCAGAGGGATTTACAGCATGCCTTGGCGTGTCTAGTTGGTAGTGTGGACAAACCCGCGCCCTAAGATCCAAGAAATGAACTGCCGACATTGTTAACATTTAATTCAACTTCTGGAAAACAGGGCACACGGTTAGTAACGTTTTGATGAAAGCCTCAGTTTGGTGTGTTGGACTAGATTTAGAAAGGGGCCAGCTCGTGTGTTGGAAAACCTCTGATTTATTCGTGTACCAGATGTAATTTTTTTTAAATTGAGAGCGAACCTTGTTTTATAAATATATATATATATATATATATATATATATATATATATATATATATATATATATATATATATATATATATATATATAAATATATATATATATATATATATACTAGCCGTCCCGGCCAGGCCCTGCTCTGGCTTCTGTGAAAAACCTTTCCGTTAAAGACCATTACCTGTGTGTTTAGTAATCATCATAAACCCGGCATTGCCCACCCAAACCACAACCAACCAAAACAACAAAACGCAAACATAACGCTAACACAATTAGAAATACAAACGAAAACAAAAACCTAACAACAAACCCAACCACAACCACAAACACCAATACAAACACAAAGAAAAAACAAACGAAAACAAAAACCTAACAACAAACCCAACCACAAACACCAATACCAAAAAAAAAACAACGAAAAAGCAAACGAAAACAAACCAAATCCAAACGCAAAACCAACCAAAAACACAAATACAAACCCAAACAAAAAAAAACACAAACAAAAACGAAAAAAGAAAGAACAAAAACGAACCAAATCAAAACGCAACCACTAACGCAAACCCACCTAAACACAAAGAAAACACTAACGCGAACATAAACGCCCGGGGCAGAATCGCCTGTTTTAGCTTAATAAACGACTATAGTACCCCAACTTATTCATAGTTTTTGCACTCACTTAAACGAACGCGCCTGTTTCAATTTAATGAACAATTATAATACTCCAAGCTTATCCGTAAAATACCTAAAACATTTGCACTTGATCAATCCCCGCTAATTATGTAATTATTTTTTTCCCAACACCAAAACAAAGTAATTAAAAAGTAAATGCTTTTCAACTAATGCAATGATTTCATAAAGGGAAGTAATTGTGTTTTGCCTAATTTATCAAAGGGAAGTAAGCGCTATAGGACTAAAGAAAGACATAATTAGAATTTTTGTAAAAGATGATATTTTTTTTAAAACTTGTGTTTAATGAACATGCCGACAATTATTACTATAATTTGAAAAATGAAAATGATTTCCCAACACTTTTAATAGTAATTTTTTAACTCATAAATTTAGACAAACGCGCACGATAATTGATCTAACACTTAAATCCGTAGAAATGCCAACGACAAACATATGCGTTACAGAATTGAGCTTTATATATTAGATATATATATAATACTAGCCGTCCCGGCCAGGCCCTGCTCTGGCTTCTGTGAAAAACCTTTCCGTTAAAGACCATTACCTGTGTGTTTAGTAATCATCATAAACCCGGCATTGCCCACCCAAACCACAACCAACCAAAACAACAAAACGCAAACATAACGCTAACACAATTAGAAATACAAACGAAAACAAAAACCTAACAACAAACCCAACCACAACCACAAACACCAATACAAACACAAAGAAAAAACAAACGAAAACAAAAACCTAACAACAAACCCAACCACAAACACCAATACCAAAAAAAAACAACGAAAAAGCAAACGAAAACAAACCAAATCCAAACGCAAAACCAAACAAAAACACAAATACAAACCCAAACAAAAAAAAACACAAACAAAAACGAAAAAAGAAAGAACAAAAACGAACCAAATCAAAACGCAACCACTAACGCAAACCCACCTAAACACAAAGAAAACACTAACGCGAACATAAACGCCCGGGGCGGAATCGCCTGTTTTAGCTTAATAAACGACTATAGTACCCCAACTTATTCATAGTTTTTGCACTCACTTAAACGAACGCGCCTGTTTCAATTTAATGAACAATTATAATACTCCAAGCTTATCCGTAAAATACCTAAAACATTTGCACTTGATCAATCCCCGCTAATTATGTAATTATTTTTTTCCCAACACCAAAACAAAGTAATTAAAAAGTAAATGCTTTTCAACTAATGCAATGATTTCATAAAGGGAAGTAATTGTGTTTTGCCTAATTTATCAAAGGGAAGTAAGCGCTATAGGACTAAATAAAAACATAATTAGAATTTTTGTAAAAGATGATATTTTTTTTAAAACTTGTGTTTAATGAACATGCCGACAATTATTACTACAATTTGAAAAATGAAAATGATTTCCCAACACTTTTAATAGTAATTTTTTAACTCATAAATTTAGACAAACGCGCACGATAATTGATCTAACACTTAAATCCGTAGAAATGCCAACGACAAACATATGCGTTACAGAATTGAGCTTTATATATTAGATATATATATGGGGGGTTCAAAAAAAATTTTTGCGGGGTGGCCCATTTTTTCTAGTTCCGCCACTGGGATAGAAGCTATACGAAAATCACAAACACATATTTTACATTGAAAATGTACAACGGACTTCGGGCCCCTAACCAATGCCACAAAGAAGGAACGTACATCATGAAAGCCCAGTATATTTCTAGTGGCTTCTCGAGCTAGAGACTTTTTTTTTTTCAAAGAATTGTGCCGACGACAGCGTGGTTTATTTTAGAAGTAAGAGAGCTCGAATGAAAGCCCACTACATATCTAGCGGCTTCTCGAGCTAAAGTTTTTTTTTAAAAGAATTATGCCGACCTCAGTGTGTTTGATTGTAGGTTTTTTTTCTCTACCTAAACCATTAAAAAACTGGTTTCGGCAGATATGTTTGGGTTTTTATTGCTGAGGACGGCAAAACAAAAAAAAGGTCCGTAATTTTTTCCGCAGCTAAAAAGATGTCCGCGGGCCGGATAAAACAGCCTCGCGGGCCGCATCCGGCCCGCAGTTTGGAGACCCCTGTGTTAGACGAACATGAAATATGATGACTTTACTATACACACTTTAAAAATTGTAGTAAGCTGTACAGTCAGGGAGGGAGCAGTTGTGAGGGCGTTTATTTTTGCGTTTGCGTTTTGGTTGGTTGTGGTTAATTTGAAAAGTAATACATTTCCTAAACCCGGGTATATGCTGTTTAATATTTAATAAACACACAAGTCATGGTCCTTTACAATGACAGATAGGTTTTTCATAGAGGCCAGTGCAGGGCCTGGCCGGCTTGTATTAATATAAAGAGAGAGAGAGAGAACTGCTAAGTTGTGCGAATAGGCACTTTGTGTTCTTTTATTTTTTATTTCAGAGAAAGTGGATATTTTCTCATAGATTTCTCATGTGTAGTTATCACGCAGGCATGCGTTTTCCTTATTTTGTTTTTTATAGAAGAATCTGCAACTATTTTGGCTTAATTATATTTAATTAAGGAGTTCACTTGACACACCACCTGCTCACAAATACAGTCAATCCCTTATTTACAATCACTCCCACTCATTAACATTAGCTACCCTCACCTTCCCCCTAGACACACATAAACAAAATAGCAATAACAGTATCAAACAACATAATGCAAAAGGTAGTTATTTTTTTTTAATTTAAAAACACTCTAACACCATAGCTTAATAGGCCTACAGTTTAAACAAGAGTGAAGAACTAAACGTAAAAACAATAACTTATGGTTAAAGTAAAAACCAATAAACATTTTAATTTTAAGACTAAAGAGAATGCATGAAAAAAAATAAAGTTGTGATATAAACCCCAGGTTTTTTTTGGAGCAAAAGTAAATTTAAATAACAAGACTAGCAACATTGTAGAGCTGTGTTTAAATCCAAAGTTTAAATCCAAGTTTGGTCTATATAATGTGCGCAATTTTTTTTAGATATTTAGTAACTTAAAAAAATTATTACAATGTATATCTAAATTACACAATATTGTAATTTTTTTTAGTATCATGTAGAAAGAACCATTACATAAATAATAAGCATTAAAGCATTTTACAGCTTGCTGCAATTATTTGGACTAAATATAGTTGAACTGTTTTTATAACCATTTTGTTTTTAAATAAGAGGCATTTTTACAGTAACCAAACAAAAAGTAAATGAAGTTCACATCATGATTAAACAAATGCAAAAAAATATCCAAATAAAGAATTGTAAAATATCACAATGTCTTTTTTTTTTACATATGCATCGGATCTAAATTAATAAAGAAAAATTTAACATTCATATTCCAGATATATGTAAACTAGACAATATAGTAGATAAAAATAAATGTCAGTTTACATCATCATCATCATCATCATCTTTTCCCATTTAAAGACACATGGGACAGATGAAGTAGGGTTCATATGTTTCAGTGACTTTGACATAGAGACGATAGTGTGGTCAGCACTATACCCAGCCCCCTTTCCCTAACATGAGCCATGTGACCACCAGAGCTGGGTGGAATCAGGGACATCCTACACACTTGAGCCCGAAAATCGAACTTCAGACTTTTGGGTTCGCAATTGAAAGCTCAACTATGCGAACACACCGCCCCTATATAATTAGTTTACAAATTTGACCTTATGTTTAATTAATTTATGTTAAAAAGTTGTCGAAAAGAGCGAAATACAAATTAATAACCGATAAGGACTTGTTTGCTCATAAAAGACATTCAAAATAGTAAAGTAACGTGGTTAGCTTTTTTAAACCAGGTTTGAAACTGTTATGACACTAAGACCTGGTGCTTTGAAAAGCATGCAAAAATTATATAAACAGAATCTTAAAACTAATCAACCTTTTCGCCTAATATTTCAAACGTTGGTCTTCATTACAAGATTTATTATTTTCAAATTTTATCATTCCATTTTTCTATATTACTGTTTCATGAACATATTGGTTAAGGTAGCAAATATATATTACAATATATATTACTATTATTAGAAATAATATATCATGCAACAGGTAATTGAATAAATTTAATATAGGTTAAGAGTAAAATAAAATATATTTGCCAAAGAACAAGAGGATAACATGTTGGACCATATATTGTGAGAGTTACATCTGTCAGATTTGTATTTGATGTGGTATCATTAAGGCGATATACATATTACTTTTTCAGGAAACAATTAACAGAATATCAAACAGAATAGCTGCTAAGACATGAAAATGCATGCGCAGCTAGTTAACATGGCACCAAGTTTTTAAAATAATTGGTTGTTTTAGTTTCTTCCCCTAGTTTATATAAATATTTCTTGGATTAGTGAGGATGGTTTCTTTTGCATTCCTCTGGACTTGGGACCAGCTCTATTATTTACTAAGAGGTGTGGTTACGAAAAATAAAATTGAAATCTCAGTAGTTTCTGTGTACCAGTTGTTTGGTTTTTAATTTAAGCTGTAAAAAAGGGTGGGGTAATGCCGGTAAATTTTGTTGGTTTTTTTAAAATAAGAAGACCATCAATTTTTCCTTAAAAAATGTTGAAACATAAAAATCGGATATCTATATGTTAAAATTAGGCAATAAACTCAATTTTAATTTTCTTTAAAAAAACTAGAAAAAATGTTCACAATAAAATACTTTCTTAATCTAATTAAAACATTAACTTAAGTCAAAACGTTACCTAAAGCTTTCATTACTAAACAGTTTTTTTTTTTTTTGGATAAACAAGTTATAAATTCCTATTCTAATTAAAGTATATTTCTTCTACCAAATCACTTATTAGATATTCATCTTTACAGAGTTCATATTTAATAAAAAGCAGAATAAAACGGTGCAAATAAAATCTACCTTTTTAAAGATGCTAAAATATAAAATGATAATACAAAGCCATTAAAATATTTTTAAACTAGTAATGTGTTAGCAAATAAAACTGTTAACAATATAAAATATGATCAAAATGTCAAATATTTTTACACAGACCATACAGATTTCTAATTTGGCCCTCCCACTTGATTGCAGAGTACCTTTCACTACACTGTAAATTTCAACTTTTAACATATTGTTTCACTAAAAAAATGCTTAATTTAAAAGATTTTTAGCTAATAATTACGCAGGAATCTGTAAGGAATATTTGTTAATAAGCCAAGCAGCATTTAATAGAGACCAATTTTATAAAATTGATTAAATTACCACTGATTACAATCGGATATTTATTGAATAGCTTTTAAATATATTTAAAAGTAAATAACCAGTGATTTTAATTACTATTGTTTTGGCAACTGACTAACAAATTGTAAGAGCAGCCACACTTCTTGATGTTAAAGTTTTAAAGAATTGCTGTCTAAAGTTTAGATGCAATAAAAAAGAGCCCAAAAAAAGCAGGTAGCGCTTGTTAACTCTTAAAAAGGAAACCGTGCCATGTTAACTGTCTGGGCATTCATCTACATTAGTTTCTATTGTAACATTTATTTTATAAAAACATAACAATCCATAAAAACTGACCAAAGAAAAAGAATGACCACTTTATGTCAGATAAACAGTAACAGTTGCAAGTATAGCCTTACTGCAAGATGGGCAATGTGTCAACAGCCTGGAGCAGTCTGTGCAGGCATAGAGGTCCCCACAGGGCAGGAACAGGTCCTTGATCTGGGCCTTGTTGCAGATCTTACACTTGAGCTGATCCTTCAGCTGTCTGTTCTCTATAGCCAACAGTGTAGACACCAGGCCCTGTTGGTTGGGCTCAAGTTCTGTAAATACACAGTTTTAAAGTACTTTGGTCAACAAAGTTCAGCAATGAAACTAAAAATTATGAAAAAAAATATATATACTAAATATACCATAGTTATCATATCTATGTGGTTTACTTGTCAGAAACTACTGTGAAAGAATTCAACAATAGTAGCCATTGTATTAAACACTGATTAATTGTTAATAGTATTTGCTACAACTGCAGATCATCTTTTTCTTCATGCCGTTGACCAACTCATGACAAGATTGATGCAAGTCTCAACTGTTTGGCATAATTAACCATAGTAAACCAAGCTGTGCATAAAAAAAAACAGACAATTACATTAATACTATAATTACAGTGAAATTACACTACATAACTTTGTCTCATGAAATTGAATGTAATTTCTTTTTTGGAAGTTTAATGGAAATATTTGGTAAGATACAAGTATCATGCAGAAATTATGGGGGTAAAAAGTGATTGTTTTAAAACAGTCCAAAATCTTAACACACAGCTGTCAATTAGTAGTATAACATGTGACGACTTTGCTAGTGGGTTTTGTTCACACAAAAAGATAATACAGAAGAATATTAACAATCTACTCTCTATTATTAAAGGTCACAAAAACTCCATATGATACAACGAGTGATCATTTTGATTAATATTTAGACAACTTATTTTTTCATGTTTTGTAATGTAATTTTGTTTATTTGCTGCAATTGTTTTTTTTTATTACTGCTTTTAAGTTTGACTATACATATCTTCTGCTGTGTATTTCATATCTTCAATTGTATGTTTTTGCAAATGTTCTATACATATTCCACTGCACTTGTTGGTATTTTGTAATAATTATCCATTTGCTGTTATTAGCTGAAATGTAGTTTTCATTTTCCAATTGCTTATAATTACTCTCTGCTTTCAGCTATTATCTTCAACTATTTGTAATTATAGTCAATTTTCAATCCTCAGCTGTATGTTTTGTAATTCTTCCATTATTTTTAGCTGTATGTTTGGTAATTATTTCCAATTTTAGTTGTCTGCTTTGTAATCACTTTCCATTACCATATTTAGCTGTGATGTTTTGTACTTTCCATTTTCCAACATTATTTTTTAAAATTACTTCCAATATGTGATGCTTCCTACCTTCAGATAACTGTTTTTAAAAAAATGGCACTTTTTTAAAAAGTGTATCTTCTCAATAGCACTACTGCTCCATCCTAAACATCTTTATTCATCAAGAAATTACAAATACCATATCAGTATTCACTTAAAATACTTACCATTAAAGGATGCAGAATCTATTAGATTAATCAGTTATTTACACAGCCAACACAAAAATAAGTTTTACACCTTAACGTTTTCAGTTACATATTTTTCTACGAACAGCAATCTAAAACGTGAGTTTTTACACTATTAAACAGTTATTGCAAGCCAAACGCTGCTCTCCTTTAAGCAAAGTATGCTATTCCAACCAGTGCAAATGATCTCCACAGTTTCTTCTCAAAATAATTCTTCTTGTAAGACGTTTGTTGTTTCTTGATATTTATCCCTGCTGCTGTTTATACCACTTCTACACTTAGCGGGATGGCTGGTTAAGTTGTATCTGAGAGCAGATAGTGAAGCAATTAAAAGAACACTTGTTTATCTTTTAAACCACACAGTCCTTAGATTTTTCAAGCAGTCTTTTATCAATCAGTAAAAATAAAAACTATTAAATTTTTAATGAATCAGAAGACCAATGATATTGTAACAAATATAAAGCACTGATTAAAAGTATTCAAATATCTGAATATTAATTGTGTAAACAAGTCTAAGTATTAATAAGGAAGAGTTTTTAAAATCACCACAAGTGTGCACTGGGACTACCTGTGCGAAACCTTATTGCTGGCTAAACATTTCAAGGCCAAAAGTGATCTGAAATACTCAACCAATTCATTTCCAATTTTAAGTTATTAAATCATATATGCATGATTGATCAATCTTATTGACCATGGGCACCCACAGCTCCTATTCTAGTCAATTCTCTCCAGCTCACCATGTGATCCATATAGGTGGTGTCTACCTCAAATGCTCATTGCCGGATGCTTTTGCTTATTTTCTTAGGCTGTGCCTGGCTGATTTACGCTCAAATCCCTGAATGCTTGTAGTTCTTTTGGCATAGGTTGTTACTAGCTGTCAAGTCTAGTGAATTTCCTCAGGCAGGCATTTTTGAAGGTCTGTACTTTCTGTATGGTCACTTGATCTTTCTCAAGGTCTTGGTTACATAAAATAAGACTGTTTATTTTAATTAAGAAACATTTCTGGCACAAATGACGAGTTGTCAAATGAAATGTTTTGCATAAAAATGTTTGAAGCAAACACAAAATGTATGTTAGGAGCTGTAATATGTACATGGATATACTTGCAGAATGTATATCTTTAAAATATAGCTACTTGATTTTGGCTTTGTAGTTTTTACCTATTAATATCATGTCTTTATGTCTTTACAGGCTTTAAATTTATTTTTTTAGCAATAGACAAGTGATCTACTATTTTTACCATGACCTCACTCAAGCCTATTAAGTAAACAAGTTTGAAATGTATATTAAACTCTGAAAAATAAACAATTAAGATTACTGAAATTGTATTCAGAACAGAGGCGTAGTGGGGGGGGGGGGGGGGTGCGGATCGCACCAGGTGACACCAATGCAAAAGAAAGCAAAATATATAGAGAAGAATGATAATTCCACTTAATTAAGTGATTAATTCGAGTGTTAAATAGTGTTTTAAGAGGTGCAAATCGAAAATTTGTCCCCGGGAAGGGTCGCTACGCCTCTGGCGGTGACACCATTAAGTGCCGCACCAGGAGACACCCGACCTCGCTACGCCACTGATTCAGAACATGCAGAAATGATGATTATGAAGGGAATTAGTTTTAAAAGATTTACAACTTTTGCTGCAGTTTATTTTGGGTAAGCTTCCATTTTGCTGCTTTTATAAGAAATATAATAATGAGTCAATCACTGATAAGGTATCAAATATAAAAACTAGCTTAAAGTGTGACAGATAATTTTTATAGTGTATCAGCAATGTGACAAGAATTGTATACACTGATATCAGATTAATGCTATCATCAGGTTAAAAGTAAAAATAAGTTAAACTTGTTATGAACTTAATACAATTTATTGAAATATTTTTCTAAAACTCGAAATGATGGATAAAATTCAGTTTCAAACATTAATTTTTATAAAATGTAAAAGTATGACGTCACACTATCTGGAACACCCTCACCACATGTCACAAAATTACCGACCCTCCTGCCTAAGAGTAGGTAGTCCAAACTGAAATTAACCATTGATTGCAGACTTCTGGAGTGAGTATGTCATGAAAGAACTTTTAATTGTAAGCTCTATGCCGCAAATTTTATAAAGATATCTCAATAAATAAAAAAGTTATGCGATTTTTAAAAAAGCAAAATTTGGTAAAAAACTGATTTTCAAAAAGTGCCATTTTTGAGAACCCATATTTTCTAAACTAAATAACAGAAGTGTAGAAATTGGTAAAGTTACTGCAAAGTTTGTAATATATATGCCCAATTTTTTTCAGTCATCTAAAATGAGTCTTTCTAAGGTAAAAAAAATAATTGAAAATGACAAAAATGCGTTTTGGTCACTTTTATTTTCATAAAAAAAATAAAAAAAAATTCAATTTTTTTTTTTTGCTTTGGACATAGAATAACTCTACAACTATTGTGTTGGTAACATTAACAGGAAGAATGTGTACATTATTTTCTAAAATCATATGAGTTAAAATATTATTTTTTAAAAAATGCCACAGTTATCTAGTGCAGGAGAAACAGAATCAAAATTTAGTGGAGTAATATAATGTAATCTAATAAAGACGTAATGCCTACAAGTGATGTAGCAGTTGATGCTACATTCAAACCTATCGGGTTGATAACTGCTTTGGGGGAACAGTTTTTAAAACCACGACTCCACATCTTTGTATGTCTTGTTTCCCTCAACCTTGATCTTGTGGAGCATCAAGAGCAAGTGATATGTTTTGGGAACTGTAGGGGGGGGGGGGGCTTGGCCTTCTTCCCTTCCCTTGTAAGGAAAGTTCTGGATAGGCCACCATAAATGTCTCCAGCTATGAAATAAATAATTTATTTAGTGATTAATAAAATATATTTAAATTTACTACTAGCCTATTTGTCCTATGACTAGCTGCAAACATGAAAAAGTCTGAAAATACCATTTTGTTAAAGGTAATTTATACTTGATAGTATATTTTTAATATTAATTCTATTGAATGAAATATTCGTTGTTTGTGCCACAATGGTTGAGATATCCAATGATGAAGGTGCCATACTGTGGTTCTCAACATCCTATAGGACAACTTAACTGTCCTTCATTGTTACTACTATATGCATATAAAATAAATAAATAATGAGAAATACTACTATTACTACTTACACTTACAACTAATATAACATTTAAAACTAAGTCACAACATGTACAATCTTAATAAATTACCATCTAAAAATTGATCTGGTACATTTTATTAAGGAGACTGGCGCAGGCCATTTCACATTATTCAGCAGGGGAATCAGAATCAGAGTGCACAACAGAAAATAAAAAATTAATCACATTAGTCCTTAAAAATTAGTGTCTTTTGTTTTTAATAAATAAATAAAAATGTAGAGTAATTATAATTATAAATTTCTTTTGTGTTTCATTAATATTTTATAAGTATTTAGCCTTCGTTCCCTGTAAATAATTGAGTTCGTCCACATAGTTACCAGGATTGTCTGGTGGCCATTTTGAATTTGTCGATTCATAATTTTGACGTGATAGTCCAGATAAACTGTAGTAATACGACCCTATCATTAATCCCATTAGATAGATTTTAAAGAATTAGTAAACACTAGCATCTAATAGTTAAGTGCATCCATATTTTAAGTCCCTAGAATGTCCTGAATTAAATAGCTTCACGTCTAAACACATCCTGTGTACAAGCGTAGTTCACACGCTAAAACCGTGGACTAGTTAGCGTTCAAATTTACATTAATAACGTGTACTAATTAAACCAAACTGACATTCAAACTTAAAATTCATTTATTAAAATGGAAATGAAACTTTAAAAATGATACTTACAACTTGTTTGAAGGCTCTAGCAAGGGTAAAATCCGTTTAGCATCATCGGTCGTCAACCTTTAAAACCGTTCGGCGAGCTACTAATTCGGGGCTGAAAGTTGACTCGAGGGTTATATGCTTGATGAGGGCACGGCTTCGCGACGGTAAATCAGAAATACTTGAATTTACAACACAAAGTAGTTATAAAAGCGAACTTTACATCGGTGTAAAAATTGAAACAGAATTAGTTTGTTTTCGTGTATATATCGTCATTTAAATTTTAAAAACTGATTTTTTTAAATGAAATAAGCAAGTTATTTTTTCAATTTATACATCAAACGATAGACTAGAATTCGCTCTTTAAAATGACATTAAGATTATGCTTCTACGATGCTTCGTCGCGAAGCTGCAACCAAATGAAACAGTGTGGGGTCGATCGGTACTCGCAAAATGGTGAAATTTGTTGACGTAACTGATACTTTTCAAACAAATATAAAACACATTCAAACATGTGTTACAGATATAAAAATACCAGATTACGACAGATAAAGACTTAAACTTTATTGACATATAATTTTTATTCTTATAGGACAACTAGAAGTAGTGAAATTTTTTTTTTGAAAACCGCAAAAACTGACCCTAAAACGCACTTTTTCGCCAGTTTGGACTACCTACTAAGAGTGTGACGTCACTTATGGAAGACTCCTTTTCTGTATCGTATCTTTTTGCCTAGTGCTATCGTAAATTATAAAGAAAAGCGCATATTAAATTTTCCGTTTGACTTAAGTACTGTACTGTAATACTCAATTTAGATAGTAATATGTGGAATGCACATGTGGGCTGTTTCCATAGATGTCTTTTCCATTGTTGTTTTTTCTAAATTTTAAAACTTCGGGAAAAAATTGGAAAAAAACAACAATCAGTGGAAAAAATAGTAGAAAACTAAATCAGCTCAGGAAAATTGTAGCTGAAATGGAAATATTGGATTTTATACTAAATCGGAAAAGTGACATCAATGAATAGGCCATTGTATTAGAGAAAGGAGCAATTAAATGTATTAATCTCACCATTATCCAGAACACTGCTGTTTCTCTCAGTACTGTTTGGAGCTAGAATGGTTGGGGTTTTTGTACTTGTAAGATCTGAAACCTGCTCACAGCTGACTGGGTCAATATTAGCTAGACAAAAAATAAAAATGTCATGATTAAAAGTGTTATATGATTATTTACAAAACAGCAGCTACTAATGATATATCAAGACAAACGCAAAAAATGAAATAACATTAAAACTGCATGAAATGTGTTTTGTCATTGTTTAATTAATGAGCTTTTATGAAGAAGGCTTTTTTTTATTGTTTCATGATTTGTTTTAAATAATTGTATTAAAAACTATATCAAGTACACTTTATAAAAATGTATTTTAAAAAAGCAACTTCTAAGCATCTATGGATAAGAATATTTTATGTCTAGTTACATTTCATCATAGCACTTGTTATCTTGGCAAAAAAATATGAGAAGCATAATTTCACCACCCTATGAACATATTCTCTTAGAACAAAAAAGTGAACTCCCTCTACAACTTCCTCTACTAGATATGTCCCATCTCAATGATAGTGTACAATGTTCTCTAAATATCATTGCAAGTACATGCTATCTAAAAAACTAAGTGAAAGGCTATGGAATTAAATAAATTATCAAAGAGAAGTCTTTAAATAAAATTGTTTGATGATTTTGGTTTATAAAATATACAACATAGATAGAAAATGAATTATACCCAAATTCCAAAAGCTTCTTTAAATAAAACTTTCTGAACACTACAGTGGACTATATTCTTTGAAAATAGTAGGATAACTCTATTTTACACATTGCATATAACTATGATGCAAAAATGAGTGTTAACCACAAACTTTATAACTAATATTTACAGAATGTTTGTATTCCAATAAAACTAAAAGAATACCATCATCTCCTGCTGTGTTGGTTGAGTTGTGAAAGCCAGCCCTAATCTGTGCCTGAAGAAATGGACAAGTTGGTCTGTGCTTCTCATGCTCTGTGTACACATTATCTCCAGGTTTCCAGGATTTCAGGCCTAGCCCACACTGGAAGCAGCGCACACAATCTGCATATCCTGATTGAATAAATATATATTTTTCTGCTCATTCAGTGCAACTACCATCCCCTTGGCTAATTACCCATCAGGGTGATTGCTACCTAAGCCACACCATTCGCTGTACAGGAACTCTGGGCTAGACCCTCAAAATGATTTACCAGCATAGAAGAAGCCTGCAGTTGCCAGGTCATGTGGCTTGTGGATGCTGTGGTACCCCCACTGGCTGAAGCTGTCCAACCTCTTGTTAAAGAGGATGTAGGCAGGGTAGGATGGGTGGGTCAGCACCTTGTACACAGGAGAGGTAACTGGCTGGTTGCCTGGGTTATCTTCATCATCACTGTCTTGGTGGGTTTGTTGGGCTGATGCTGGTGGGGGCAGGAAATCTTCAGGCCCACAGACTGGGGACACAATAGGGAAATGTACACATGACTGGGGACAGTAACACAATAGGGACATGTACACATGACTGGGGACACAATAGGGAAATGTACACATGACTGGGGACAGTAACACAATAGGGACATGTACACATGACTGGGGACACAATAGGGAAATGTACACATGACTGGGGACAGTAACACAATAGGGACATGTACACATGACTGGGGACACAATAGGGAAATGTACACATGACTGGGGACAGTAACACAATAGGGACATGTACACATGACTGGGGACATTACCACAATAGGGACATGTACACATGACTGGGGACACAATAGGGAAATGTACACATGACTGTGGACATTACCACAATAGGGACATGTACGCATGAATGTTGTTTAGCATCACTGCTGTAACTCATTTGCCTAAGCCATTAATGCAGGAACTAATCTAAGTCAATTCAAATTCATCTGCCCTAGTGACCTCAGATCAGATAGAAAACACAACTTATTTTTAAAGTCCATTAAAAGTTTAGAAACTATACCTGATAAATAGCAGGACCATCCAAAAACAAATTAAATAAAAAATGTCTACATTTAAATAAACACCATATTAAATCATAGTATCAACAACAACAAACAACTCAGGCAACTTCAAACGTCACAGATTTGTTTACTCCACTTACTTCTGAGGACTGTGGCACTGAGGTTGTAGCTCCTGTCTATGCCATTATGAACCCAGACATCAAGTTTGTATCTCGTCTCCTCCAATCCAGCTTCTTGAAATTTCTTGAAGAGAATCACAGGTGCACCAGACGCCCCTTGGCATGTGTCTGCAGCATACAGGAAAAGTTTGCGACTTCTGCTGAAATCTGATGGAGCTGTAAGACATTGAAAAGTTGAATTTTTATTTTTGTAAACATAACTTGTAAAATACTTGAAAAATTGAAAAATAACTATTCATCACAAGCAGAATGAAAATGCATTAACGTCATTGAACCATACACATTCTATCTCATTTTTGTAGATTAAAGAAATATTAATTTTGAAATGCTAATAACTTATAATGATCCAAGACTAATTAATAAATTATTTATAGCATTATGTTAAAATATTAATTTACCTTGTTGCTGACCAGTTAGTTTGGCCAGTCTCATTTTTCCATCTTCCGCAATATTCATGTCAAATTTTACCTTGACGGAATCACCATAAGACAGAACCTTTTCTCCTCCATGTGGATGGCTGATTATAAATACTTTTTTGGTCATACATTCCTTAGCTCTACCTGGCAACATGTCCGCCAATGTCAACATTTCTTGCCTTGTTTTGTAAAGCAGCTGTGCAAAACTTGGATCAGGACATTTACAAATCAAAATGACACTGCTGTCTCCTGCTGTTTTTCTGAAGAGCACAGACTCCACTTTGAGAGAGCACTTCTTTTCTAGCCTGTCATAGAACTCCACTACTGTGTTTCCAACATCTTCTACATCTTTAACCAAATGTTTGTTGGTCTGGACATAAACTCTACTTTTGTTTTTCTTCAGAAATGGAACAAACTTTCTGATGTTATTCAGCTTCTTGTGTTCTAGGCCTGTTAAATCAAAGACAAATCCTGTCCCTGTTCGATAAGCTGCATTACTTGGAGTGGATACAACTATTCTAGCTGTCAAAGTTCCCCAGAAATTAAGGAACTTCAAAACATCAGGATGTCTTGTATTGGCTGGGATTTGCTCCAATGTCAAGGTCGCCAAGGGGAAATAAGCAAAGTGTCCTGGATTCTTCTTACATTCTCTCCCATTAACTTGAGAGCTTTGATATTTTACTTTTGAATCACAATATTCTGATTCAAATAGGTCACTGTCATCTAAATGATACAAATAATTTTTTTTTAATTTATTTGATCCACAAATCTATAATTAGTTTAAAAAAAAAAAAATGAATATTTGTCAAACAGAACCCAATATAAAGTAGAATTTTGATGAGAAAAATAATTTAAAATAACCAAATAATTTATAATTTGAAAGAAAGCTACAATGAATTTTTTTTAAGTATATAAAGAAAGTGGCTACTTGATGAATATTTACCAAAATATATTGACTCAACGGAGTAGTCACTTAGCTCACTGGATGCTGAAGGAAAAAAAAATAGCTTTAGTTTCTTTTATTTATCAAACGCAACAAAATGAATTTACAAGTCAGTTAAGTAAGTAAAAAAAGGAGAGAGTAATTATAAGAATTCCTACCAAGGGAACTGTCAGAATTGTAGCCAGATGAATTGCTGGAATTAGAGTTGTGTCTTGTGATGCCAGAAACTGGATCAGCTGCAGAAAGAAAATAGAAAACTGGTTGTAAACCCTATTTATAATTTAAAATTAAATAACCATACTCATAAAAAATTAGCAGTAGAAATACTAATAAAGTGGAAAAAATTAAGTTGATTCAAATGTATTTTAAAACATATAAATCTTACTTGGAAGTGCAGTGGGCTGTTCTGATACATCTGCATAGCCCTCATCATCACCTTCATTAAAATCATGTGTGTTGGATTCCTTAGGGAATGTGTCTTCCATAACCAGGGTATCATTTTGTAGTTCTATGTTAACTGAACAAATATTTTCTGGTTGTTTATCTATGTTGGTAAAACCTGAAGCTTGTGGAGCAAAATCAATTTTGTTGTCATTTTCTATGCTATCAGCTGTTGTGATCTCATTTGGGATAATACAGAGAGCTTTATGGTATTCTTTGTCAGATGGATCAGAGACTATACTGTTTATGTCATGTGATATATCACAAAAATCACACTTCACTGTAGTGCCAGTTCCTGTGTAGCGGAAGCCGGCAGCTGATAGTCTAATGCAATATACGTTTCCATGGATTTGCTTACATATGGGAAGAAAGGAGGCAAGCCGTACAATTTCCTGCACATTGGAGTTAGCCTGGCTTGTGCACACATCATTATAATCTTGTGTCAACACCAGGGCCATTATATTTAACCCTGCAAGATGAATTGAGTAGGTTGTTATTTTTTTGGAGATGTGCAGGAATGTACGGCTGTAATTTATTCACGACACGTGCAGGCCATGATTACACCAGTCAATGGCTATCAATTTGATATCTGATGCATTAGCTATCCTTGTCCTGAAACATATTTAATAAAAACTTATTAATTGTGACAGAATATATTTTAGGGGTCATCCATAAATGACATCACGCTTTTTTTGATGATTTTTTACCTCCCCCCTCCCCTCCATTACACATTGTCACAAAAATGAAAAAGCTAGACCCCCACCCCTAAAATGACATCACACCCCAGCCTACAACCCCCCCCCCCTCCCCCCCCTCAAAATTGCAGTTGAATTTTTCTTAAAACATCGATATTTTTCCAAAATCTTGTCTGAACTCTGTCTATATAGAGTATTTTAATCAATTCCTATTACAATTTGTTAAAACAGTTTTCTGAAACCCGATATAACATTTAAAATTAGTTTTCTAACATGGCTTTTTTATATTGCAAAAGTGTGACGTCGCACCGTCTGAACCCTTCCCCCTCCCACTCATCACACACCGTCACAAAATTACGGAACCCCTCCCCCCTACAAGTGTGACGTAATTAATGGATGACCCATTAAAGCAAAAAATATCCTAAAAATTGTATTCTGCTGTTTTTAAAAAATAAATAATAGTTATTATTGTAATCTAATGTCAACACTAAACTTATTAATAAAATGTATTGATATTTTGTAGATTTATAACAGTTGGGACCTACACTGGCCTAGAGTATTCAAACAGTATGTGTATAGGATATAATAAACTTGATATAATTTAATAGGTAAAGCCCTAATTTAATAACAAAAGAAGTGTGAAGAGGCTTGAAAAGCTTGACACGATTTTTAAAACATTTTAATTTTCATTGGACAAATTTGATCTAGATCTATATATTCTAGTTCTATTACTAGATTCTACTTTTAATAAAATTTTAATTAGCACTAGGCCTAATACTAATAAAAAAAAATATTATATTATTAATACTATAATATAGTATAGTAGTATGTAGGAGGCCTACCGCTTTAGTATAGAGTATAAATTATAAAAATAAAGAAGATCTAGAGATCTAAATTATTTTAATTTAGATATCTTTAACTTTATCTAAATATCTAAAAATCTAAATCTAGATTCTAGATCTTAATCTAGATCTAGATTTTCTAGAGATCTAGAGCCTAGGTCTCGGGGTTCGGCGGAGGTCAAAACCAGGACATTAATACTAGATCTATTAATTTAATAGATCTAGATAACTTAATAATAAACCAAAATCAATGTATTAATATATAAATAAACATCTGCCATTTGTAAGTTAGAGTGGTTTCCCCTGAATCTCTAACTATAATAAGTAGATCTCTAGGTATAATTTTAGCAAAAAAAAAACTTCAACAAGACGGCGGTAAACCTCCATTTCAGCGTATTTTATTCTCCGTTGCTTGTTTACCTCCAGTTGAGCGTATTTTATTCTAACAACCGAAACACACCAAAACATTAGGAAAACACGATTTATTTTTTGTATTGTATTTTTGTTTTAGCAAATGAATAAAAATGAATATTTAAAAAACACGACTTGTTTATTTGTATTGTATAAAAACAACAAAGAGACTGACTGAAGTGCTTTGTTTGTTGGTTACAAAAATAGAGATGCACATTTTGTACAATTAAGTGTTCCAATTTCAACTAAACTGAATAAAAGTATTAAAAGGCAAAATAATGCTGCTAAAAGTGGGCCGGGGGGGGGGGGGTGGAATTTGGTGAGGGCTGGCTTGGAGTGTTAGAGAAAGTGTGACAACTCACGTTGTAATTTTAAAAAAAATAATGTTAGAGGTCGTCCATAAATGACGTCACACTCGTAGGGGGAGGGGGGGGGGTCTGATGGTGCTACATCATTTTTGGGGGGGGGGGGGGGTCTTGCTTTTTGTGACGACGCGTTTTTTTACGATTTTTACCTCCCCCCTCCCCTCCGTTACACGTCGTCACAAAAAGTCAGACCCCCCCCTAAACTGACGTCACACCTCAGCCTACAACCCCCCCCCCCCTCAAAATTTCTGTTGAATTTTTCTTAAAACATCGATAATTTTTCCAAAATCTTGTCAGAACTCTGTCAACATAGAGTATTTTGATCAATTCATATTACAATTTATTAAAACCGTTTTCTAAAACGCGAAATAACGGCTAAAACTTGTTTTTCTAACATTGCTTTTTTATAATGCAAAAAAGGGACGTCACACCATCTGAAACCCCACCCCCTCCCCTCATCACACACCGTCACAAAATTGCTGACCCCCCTCTCCCTTACGAGTGTGACGTCATTTATGGACGACCCCACATCAATTTTTTTTAAAAGTCAGAAATTTACTCATACAAAAAAGGGAAGGATGGTAGATTTACTATGAATTTAAATAACATACAACTCTATAGTAAAAAATTTTTTTCAGTTTTAGCAAAACTGTCAAATTAAAAAAAAAAGAGTTTGTACATTTATTGCATAAATACAAAAATATAAAACAGAATGATTAACAGTGTATCAGTTTCACCATGAGACAAATGCCTTATTTTTTAAAAATACAATACAAATAAACAAGTCGTGTTTTTTTAAATATTCATTTGTATTCATTTGCTAAAACAAAAATACAATACAAAAAATAAATCGTGTTTTCCTAATGTTTTGGTGTGTTTCGGTTGTTAGAATAAAATACGCTCAACTGGAGGTAAACAAGCAACGGAGAATAAAATACGCTGAAATGGAGGTTTACCAGTTTTAATACAATTGTTTAAACATGTATTTACATTAATGAAACTTTGAAACATTTTTATAACTTTAAAAACATATTACATTAGGCCTATTTATTTAACAGATCTAAATCCTCCTAAAAAAATTAAAATGTGAAATAATTTCTAAAATTTAATGCGTCACCTTTTTTCACATTACTAGACTCTAGGTCTAGAAATCTAGATCTAGAATTTTAGTCTAGATCTAGAATCTAGTCTCGGTCGATTTTACCTAGATCTAGATCTAATCTAGATTTAGATCTAGAATCTAGATCTACCTAAAAAGATAGATTACCATAAATATAAAATATAATAAATATTAAATAAAGATTAGGCTCCTATTCTCCTAGATTTAGATTATTCTAGATCTAAAAATCTAGATTAGATTTAACTATTTAACTTGGCATAAGCCCGTGGTTTTTATTTTTATATCTGAACCTTGTAGATCTAATTCTAAATTACTAGATCTAGATCTCTATCTAGATTCTAGACTAGATTCTAGTAATCGAAACAGGAAGTCCTACAAATGTAATGTTATTTTTAAAATTTTAAGTCCAGGTAATGCCAATCCTTAGTTAGAATCTAATGGACACCAGCGAGAAAAGTCTCAAAGGTATTTGAGAGGTGCATAAATTAATTTAAAAATCTTGCACGGCGTAGTTACAATTAATATGGTTATAAAATCATATCTGTCTGGTTTTTTCGGACTTTACTAAAGATTGGATGTATTTGATGTTTTTAATATTTTTGGTAACTAAATAAAAAATTTAAAAAAAAAAAGCAAAAACAATTTGGTTTTCACGTGTAATGGCGACAAAAGCATCGTGCTAGGCTATTCGCCATAAATTTTACTGCACACATTGTAAGCTAAAAATAGAAAAACCAGGTCATGGGTTTACATTTGCATTGTTATTTAAAAACTTGATCTGCGAAGTTTTGTAAACAATGTTTGTCTTACGAAAGTGAAACATCGGCTTATAACTTAGGCTTGATGAAAATAAATAGAAATGTAGCCTTAAACTCAACAAATTATTTTCAAGTTCTTTGGATCTGCAACTTGTATAGCGTTGATTCTAAAAATATTAAATTTCTGAATTAATTTTAGGCTTATGTTTTTAATAAAATTTTATCTTTTATTATTTTTATGGTCCTAAATCTAAATAAACCGGGAGTGATCTCCCCTAAACTTTCTCGAATATTCTTATATAAAATAACAGGGGATGGGAACTCGGGCTATAGACATGATTTTTAATCCATTTTAAATACTTAAAGTTTTAAAAATAGAATAAAATCTCGTAGACAAATTAATTACACACCAAGTGAACGCGAAAAAAAAAAGCGCATAATAGTGCGCAATATTATTAGTACTTTAAAAATTTACATTAGTTTTTTGAGAAATCGGAAGTAGCGTAAATTACTACTTCCGGTCAACGGAAATTACTCAAAATTTAACAGAAGGTAGAGAATTAGATCTTTTACTTACATGTGAAATTTCATTTATCTATCTGAAATAGTACTCAAGTTATAGGCTTTTGAAAAATTCAAAGTAGAAAAAGTACCACTTCCGGTTGTCGGAAATCGCTCAAAAGTTGATACGGATCTACGATTTTGATATAATACTTATATATGAAATTTCATCAACCTAGCTGTAACGGTACTCAAGTTATCGTGTTTAAACACGGACACACAGACACACAGACACACACACAGACATACGGACAAGATTACAAAATTATGTTTTTCCGTATCAGTGAGGTGTAAAACGTCGAGATTTGTAAAAATCTCGATTTTTTTTTTGCACGATTACAATACTTTCTCTATACTACGTATATACGAGAAAGTAAAAAGCACATTTTTACTTTCTCGTATATACGTAGTATAGAGAAAGTATTGTAATCGTGCTACTTCCGATTTCTCAAAAAACTAATGTAAATTTATTAAGTACTAATACTATTGCGCACTATTATACACACCTTTATTAGGCGTTCGCTTGGTGCGCAATTGTTTTTTACTGAGATTCTATTCTATTTTTAAAAGTTTCAGTATTTAAAATGGATTAAAAATCATAACTATATCCCCAGTTACCATCCCCTGTTGTTTTATATAAGAATATTCGAGAAAGTTTAGGTGAGATCACTACCGGTTTATTATTCCATGTCAACAACATTACGGA